TTTTGAAAATATTTTTAAAACATAATTTTTTTTTTTTAAAAACCGTGTACGACTCGCTGGCCACCGTGGTTGGCTAGCCAAAGCTAGCCATAGTGGTTGGCCGCTTTACAGCAGCCATTGCCGCAAGGGCACCAGCGTGCAACACTTGCATGGTTGTTGCCCAGCCAACCCCGGACCACCTGCCCTCCCTTCCCCTCCCACTTGGACTGACGCCGGTCGGCAGCCACCCAGCCGTGGCTGCAGGCCATTAAAACCTTTTTTTATTTTTAATTTTATTAAAACAACTTTTGTTAAAATTAAATTAAATCAGTCCAAAATTAAAAATAAATCCTTATTCAATTTTAAAATTAGGGTTCTTCATAAAATTAAATCCCTATTCAATTTTAAAATTAGGGTTCTTCATAAAATTAATTTCAATTTAATTTTAACTCTTAAAATTAAGTTGTTGATCATACACAAAACACTTTTATGCATAAATCAAAATAATTAAAATTGTGAAACATAAAACTAATCAAATTCAACCAAAAACAAGCACAAAATCAAAATTTAGGAAAATCGAAATTAGGTTTAGGGGTGTTTGAAATTTTCGAACAAATTAGGGCAAAAATTTGGTCCTCTCTATGGATATTTTGAGCATAATTAAATCACATTTAATCAATTTCAACAGTTAAATCACATTTAATATAATAATTGAACCATAATTAAATTAATTCTCCCTCTTAATTGATTATAAAATTATGAACATGGACAATAATCGTATTATTATAATCAAGCATGTTCATGCAAGAGGCTAACTGATACCACTATAAGTTATAGGTACTCTAAGAGGAATTTCATGAATCATATTCATATGCACCTAAAATAATTTTGCATGCATAACAATACCTTTGAAGAGTGCTCCACGTAGCAAATTGATTGACAAATCAGGGAGAGAATAGAGCCCTAAGCGTGACTCCTCTACTTAGTCCACGGGATTTGATCAAGCTGTCCACCAATACTAGATTGGTCGAGTGAAGGGGAAAACCACGATCACCACCTTTAATGGACAACCGTCCACCACCACGATCACCACCACCACTGCACACCACCAGCGCCGAAGAGGAGGAGAGATCCGTGAGAGAGAGAGGGGAGTTTAAAGAGGTTGGTTTTGTGTTTGCTAATTAGGGTTTGATCTTACTGATCACTGAATTGTTATGTTCAACCCTAGGCACCTAGTCTATTTATAATCCTATTATAATTAGACTAGGAGCAAAGCCCAAACCCTCCTAATTCCTTCTCATGGCCGGCCACCTAGGGGAGAAGGCCAATCATGGGACTTTTCCTCTTATGCTTGATCTAGGCCCTTTGTGTTACCTTACAGGATCCGTTAAATTGGGCGTTGGCCTATTTTACTAGCCCAAAGATCGTTAGTACCTCTAGCTATAATATAACGACGACCCAAAAGAACGAACTTAATTATCTCCATAATTTGATCCATTATATATCTAGTAATTGCACTTGACGAAGACATAAATCCTTCATTCACACCGCCCAAGGGGGTTCGACTCGTAAAGCTCAAGAACCCACCAAGTGATTCCCCAACATCAAACATAAAAGAAGGATTTTGTTTGTTAAACGACACATCCAACATACATACCTACATTGGAGATGAATGAAATTCGACCTCCAAAGGCTGCTCACCTCCTTATATCTCCTTGAGTAAGAGTAGTTTGCCATCAAAAAACCACGGCCTCTAATGAGTGACATTTATGTCACTCTTAGGGGTAGTGTTTAGGTCCCTTTCCTCCTATTTTTCTTAGGTTTTTCTACCTCATTTCTCCTCTTATGGCTTCTTTATGTGTTGATGTCTTATTTGTGCTTGTTTTGATAATCTTTATGCATTATTTTATCATCCCCACGCTCTCGTGATCTTTGCTATCTTTTGCAGGTTCCACGCAGTCCTAAGCACGGTGGGAGGCCCCTTGGCCAAGTATGGAGGCATGGACAAAGGCAAGAGGAGCAAAAGGGAAGGAGAGGAAGCAAGAAGAGGAAGTGCAAGAGGAGGTGTGGCCGAACCTCTGAAAGGTTCGGTCGAACCAAGGTGCAAAGGAGGCAGTTTCAAACCAGTTTTCAGCAATTTTGCAGGAGGGGTCGAACCTCGAAAGTTCGACCAAACAAGGATCAGGGAGGTTCGACCGAACCTACCCAGAGTTCAACCGAACCTACCCTGAGTCCGACCGAACCTACCCAGAGTTCGGTCGGACCTTTTCCCGATCTCAGCCGACTTTATACGGACTATTTAAGTTCCTTTTTAGATCGTTTTTGGGGGAGATTAGAAAACAGTAGAATAGTTTTCAGCAAAAACTTTCTCTTAGTTAGCACCTTATTTCATTAAATTAGTTGATGATCTAGTTTGGAAACTCTAAAATTTAATCATTGTAGAAGCAAACTTCAAGGTTCATTCTCATATTTTCAGCATTTATTCAACATTTGAAGCTTCAATAGTAACTTCTTTCACTTGTCTCTACTTATTTTCTAATTTTATTTTGTTATTGCAAGTCACTTGAATCTCTCTTAATCTTGATAAATCAGTGTTGCATGTTAGTTTTATCCATAGTGAATCACTTTTCCCCAATTTTAGAATTACTTAGAATCCCAACTTGGAACTTTGCATGTTACTCAAAATGAATTATGAGTAGTCCTCTTGGCTAGGGGTTGGGTGAAACTCACCCTAATGGTTAATTAAGTAAACTTGGGAGAAGTATTGATGTTTTATTTGTGATTAAATTGATTGTATGAGATTGCTTGTTAGTTCTTCATGATAGGAGTAGCTACCCTAGAATTTGGAGCTTGATAGCATGTTATGCTTTGTTTGACATGGAAATGTAGATTAAGTATGTCATTACTTATTGCAATTTGATTATGTATCTCCTTTTGCTAAACTAATGAGGGATCTAAGTTTAGGAATGTGAGTTGTTTTCCTAATTGCATGAGGTTGGTCTTACATATAGTCCTTGCTATCTTTTGTCTCCATTTGCTCCCAATATGCTTGATTACCATGGTTGATCAGTGGATCCCATTCCCTGGTACTTTTAATTACTTGATTTAGAAAAATAGTTTGTTTGTCTACTTGACAAACCCCCAATCAACAAAAGTCTTCGAACTAGCTTGTGTATTAAGATCTTTAGCGATTATATCCCGTTCCTTGTGGACCGAACTCTTACTTATCATTGTGCTTGGTTTGTGAGATGTTTACTTATAAATGTGTTTGAATGAGTGTGGAATGTACGACCGTTCTAACGCCCATCAGCCTCCCATCCAATATCCTTTCTTTATCAGCCTCCATGAAGAATTGAAAGACAAAAAGATTTGTATCCACCGTATTAATCGCAATGTTATCATTCAAATGCCAAATTGTAGTCACCGTCCTCTTCATTGCTTCTACACTAAAGGTTTTCACGGTCCAGAGTTTACCCACCAAAGCTAAAATAATTTGCTCCTTCTGAACAACCCCGTCATCGTTCTCATCCCCACCCCCTATAACTGTATTCTCTTCATCCGTAAGCTTAAACTTCTCCCAATCTTTGATTAAATCTAATTCCATCTTGCAACAGAGCACGAAAAATTCATTGAAACGAGACAAAAATTCACTCAAAATCACAACACAACAGCACCGTACAAGGACTCAACAAAACCCTAACCTAAGTACATTCTTTGTTTAACCAAAAAAAAAATAATCAAAATATTTTTCAATCAGTAAAAGTTCAATAAAAATAATTTTAGTTCATAATTTCATTTTTGCAAAAATAAGGTGAAGAGAATAATAGCCTTAAAACATACTTCTTATGTTTCTTTTTTTATGCTTGCAACACACACTTTTTTACGATATTGAAGAAAAGTGGGTCTTACATGCTTTTAGACACTTAAAATGGGGTTGAGAGAATTCTAGAAGTATAAATATGTGAGTCATGAGCTTTAAATAGGGATAATAATTTAATTTTAACCAAAAATACCTTTTCAATTATAGAGTGTTACAAAAGAAATTAAATCATCCTAATTTTTCGTTCCCTCAAGGTTTTCTCCTTGAGAGGGTTTTTTTGTTCTCTCTAGGGTTTCTTCCTTAGGAGGGTTTTCCTAGCCTTCATTGCTAGGTTTTTTCAATTTTTTTTTTAAGGTTTTCCTTCTCTCTTCTCCCTTTTCTCTCCATCTCTACCATCTCTTTCCTCTTGGTCTCAGTTGTGAATCTTTGTAGGGGCTTCCACTGGTGTTCTTACCGGTGGTAAGCCCCCAAAAACCTTTTAATTGCTTTCAATAAATAAATCTCATCCTTGAGATGATGATTTTTCTCTTGAGTTTATTTTCTTTTTATGTTTGTATGGCAAAAATTGAAGATCTAGGGTTTCATAATCTCTACAAGAATCCGGAGGACCACATGAATATTTTCACTCAAACGACTACGCATCAGTGGATTTTAAGCGGAATCAGTGCGAACTCACAGATTTTATTGCTTCAGATGAAGTTTTTTATTAAGGCGATTGTTAATCAAATCTATGATGTATCTAGTTTTAAGGTGTGTACTTGTATTGAAAATTTTGATTTCTTAGGAATTATATGTAAGTGTCGTTTGACTATATTTTATTAATGATACCCCTTTTTCTTCTTGTCAAATAAAAAGAAATATATATATAGTGTTACAAGTATTGTGACATTTTCATTTTTGTAAAGTGTTGCAAGTATTAAAAAAATGGAGGAAAATAATTCATACAAAGTAAATCATATACCCTCTGTTTTTTTTAAATGCATCAGTTTGACCAACACATTTGTCAAGACGTAATTTTGACCATTAATACCTTTAATTGTTTATTAGTAAAATTGTAATAAAATTATATTACGTAAGTAAACATTGTGACGTATGTAATGATATATTATATAATAACATTAATTTATTTTATAATAGTAAAAAATTAAGTCAACTATAACATGTGAATAATGCAAAAGTCAAAGTGATGCATTTAAAAAAAACGGAGGAAGTAAGACCAATCAATAGTTAAGGATCAATTCCTAGTACGGAAAGATCATTACCAATCTTCAGTTTGGTTTCAATCTCCAACTAGTCGTACCACTACCCCACCTAGTATCTATCAATCAAAAACCAACTGCTCACTAAAAATTATTCCCATCTCCATTATTTTGCTTCTCTTTCTCTTTCTTTGTCTTCATCCTGTCACCTTCATTAATCAGTAAGCAAATCTCTATCCCATTAGAAAATTGATAATTATTCACCAGTTTTTGAAGAGATCAACAAAAATGGATGACCCACGCAATCAAATTACGGTAAAACAAATTACTTTGAATCCCCTTTTATATATTTTACTCATTTTATCATGTCTTAGTCTTTATCTATTTTATTTATTTGGATTTTGGTAGAGTTCTTATTAATATTTGTATCATTGTATGTGAAGTTCATAATTTATTAATGCTTTTATAGAAAATGTATTTGAAATTGATAGAAATCTCATTAATAAAATCAGGAATGAATATTTGTATCATTGTATGTGAAGTTCGTAATTTTGCTTTTATGATACATTCTCAGAAATTAAAAATGCCCTTAACTCTAAGCTCACCTGTGACTTAAGATCATAAATTGGAGACCTACCATCTATTTGTGCTTGCAAGTGGAAGATTTCCATACCTTTCCTAACTACAAGTAGTGTTGACCTTGTAGTAGGTTGATTTTGATTAATTTTGAGTCCTAAACTCCCATATCAAATTAATTCAAGTTAAATTATGTATTACTCTGATCCATCCACTTTTTTGTTATTGTCCAAATTAGAATCTTTATAAGCTTCGATACAATTGGAATATAACACTCTTTGGATAATACGTGAAGAAAGTAATCATATGGAATTTTGCTTGATTCCACCTAATGATAAATTTTACAATATCCTTTTTTTTTTCTATGACATATATTTGAATATACATGTGTTCATATGTGTGCTTGGATAACATTATAAATAAAAGTGAAATATCTATATTACTATATAAAGAGAAAATGCTTTTTGAATGATAAATTTAGCTTTTTCCAAAATGTCCTTCTCAATTTCCAAAGTTACTATTTCACATTTTTTTTTAAATTACACTTTATTTTGTTCATTTTTTTACCCTCCCTAAAAAAAATTTATTTTAAAAAAAAAATCTTAACTGCTCATAACTGAGCGTTTGCTTTTTACGTTTCACAAAATACTGTTTTTGCCAAAAATTGAAGCTTTTTTTTTTTTATTTTTTATTTATTGTTTTACAGTAAAACAAAAAATGTTGGGTAAATTTTATCTTTTATTGTTTATGGTAAATCAAAAATTTATAAGAAATTCTGTTAGATTTTACAATAATAATCATCGATCAAATACGATATATATATATATAGGGTGAAAACTGAAAACGATTCATCCTAGCCGTAGATTATAATCTAGCGGATGACATCTAACGTTTATATACTAATTTTCTCTCTCCTCCCACGAAAACAATTTCTCTCTCCTCCGTTATTTTCTTCTTCCTCTTCCTCCTCTCTCCTACTTTCTCTCTCCTAATTTCTCGACATTTTTTTCCCCAATTTTCACGCTATTTTTTTCAAATTCAGCTTCAATTACTTTGATTTTCAGCAATTTTCAGCTCTACAATCTATTATTAGGTGAGTTCTTTGTGTTAATTTCGCTATTTTTTGCATGATTTGAGGTTTTAAGGTTTCTGAAATTTTCATCAATTTTGTTCGATTTTGTTTGATTTTGCAATTTTCTATTCGATTTTGTTCAATTTAGTTCGATTTCCCGTTTTACTAATCGATTAACTTTAGTTTCTTCCTTAATTTCATTGATCTAAGTAGAAGAAGATCTACAACTTTCATGATTTTTTCAGTGTTGCTGAAGCTGTTTTCTGACGCCCATGGCGAATCAACGGTGGCGCCACCACCACCTCTACCACAGCAACACCAGCATCAGTCGCCTTTCTCGCCGATTTCTTCCCGTTGTTACCTCCATCGTCGGCGTCTTCATCCTCCGCTTCTTCGCTCTCTCGCTCCTCGTCCTTCTCGCCTCCTTCACCATGGCCACTCTCGCAGCTCATTTCTCTTTGGTATTCTCTCTCTTTCGCTTTCTCTCTCCTCTGACACTGTAATTACAACAATTTGTTTTACTATAATTTGTTTAATTACTATAATTTCTTCATATATGAGGTTCTGTTTGTTTAATTAAGTGATGAATTATTGTCCAATTGTTTTGTTTTTGGATTTTACTTTTGTTCATTTGAAATTAATGATTTTTTTTTTGGTCTGAATCATTGATTTGTTTTTCGATTTTTAGATCTTTGATTTTGTAATCTAGAGTTTTGATTGTTTTAATGTTGATTTGTCTCTGTATATGAGAGATTTGAGTTTCAGTGTAGATGACTATTTTTTTAGAAATTCTAAATGTTTGATTTAGGTAAGAAAATGTATGATTTGTTAATGTTGATTTTGTAAATTTGGTTGATAATTACAAACTCGCGCTTAATTGGAGTGTTGTTTTTTTAACCTTTTGGTGATGTTGTGGCAATTAATTGAAGTGAGTTGATTTACTGTACATAGTTTGGTATTACAGTAGATTGATTTAAGATTGGATCCAAAATTCTCTTGTTCAGTTTGTTTATAGGATCGCCATGTTTATAGGATCACCATATTAAGTGATTTAATCAACATTAATTTATTGTGATTCCAACAGTTCCTCTTAGGAGGTGTGAGAGGGGTACATGATAGAGGCGAGTAAAAATCTTACTATCAAGTAACAACACCCTATGTTATGCAGTAAATGGCTAATGTTGTTATATGTCATTATCAACTCATGGTGTGTTTTAAGATCTAAATAATATGCTTTGTTTTGCTTAGGTTTTTGTTGTTCTCTTTTACTAATTATCAAGGGTTTATGCATATTAATGAATTAGTTGTTTTTATAGGACTTAATAGATGTGGTAAGAGTTGCAGGCTTAGGTGGACTAACTACCTGAGGCCTGACCTTAAGCATGAAGAATTCACAGAACAAGAAGAGAAGCTCATCTGCAGCAAGTGGATCTAAAGTTTAATCTAAAGTTCGTCGCATTGGATCAATTTTAGTTAATTGATTACTCACATTGATTGCTCTAGTTGTTAATTGATTTTTGGTAGTTCATAGTGTGATTTAGTCAAAATTAATAATAGCTAATTATTTTCTTAGTGTAAATTTTAATGAGCAGGAGAAAGCATCAGCTGAAGTTATCTTATGATAAGGAGCAGCAGGATGACGAGGAGGAGCAGGAGAAGTTATCTGATGACAAGGAGGAGAAAAAGAAGTTATCTGATGATAGTTACCTTATTTTTGTAAATAGTGACTTCTATATCAATGTGGTCAATGTTGTCAAAATTGATATAATTACCTTATTTTATGTATAGTGACCTTCGTTATTTTTATATATAGTGGCCTCTGTATAAATGTGGCCTCTGTAAATTGACGTAGTTACCTTATTTTTGTATATAGTGACCTTTATGTAAATGTGGTCAAAATTGATATAATTACCCTATTTTTGTATAAAGTGACCTCTAAGTAAATATTGTAAAAATTGATATAGTTACCATATTCCTATATATAGTGACCTCGATGTAAGTATCATCAAAATTAATATAACTTGATATAATGACCTTATTTTTGTATATAGTGACCTCTAGGTTGTTTTACACTATCAGATGATCTAGTGAACATTCAATGGCTAAGATTGCTTGTTTTTAGTTTTCATCATAAACTCTGTTTTTAGCGGAACCTCCCCGTATATATATATATATATATATATATGTGTGTCATTTTCCTTCATCAACAATATAGTATTAGACTAATGGCATCTATTGCTTAACTGAAGGGATTTACGTTACATTGTTATCTATTTTTTTTTGTTGCATAGAAACTATAAATATACTTTTAGAATTATTTTACAAAAAATCTATCCTAATGAAAATATTTCATGTATATATAAATAATACAAGGAAAAATGGTAAAAATTCAATAATAATAAGGAAAAAAAAAAAAAAAAAAACCCTACGTAGAGTTAATATACCATCACATTTTTATTTTTTTTTTTTAAAAAAAGCTAGCCTGTAGTCATTTACCAGAAATTGAATACACCCTCCCTCTAAATATTTAAAAAAAAAAAAAAGGTAAACTAAAATAATAACCGTCTAAGCTTCTAAATTCCCTTAAGCTAATTTTTCTTTAAAACTACCTTTGAAATTTTCTTTGTGGAGGCGGATGTACTAAGCATGGTACATCCGGATTTTTTATAAAAGGCGTAATGAACATATACTCCCTTCGTCCCATAATACTTGACACAGTTATCATTTTCGTCCGTCCCAAAATATTTGACACGTTACTAAATATGGAATGAGACCACTAATAAAAAAAAAAATTCTTATACTCTCTTTGGGACCACAAACCCCAAAACCCAATTAAATCCTACATTTTCTTTCTCCTCACTACCCCACCCCCCTTACTTTTTGTTTTCTTACAATGTATAAGTACAAAAGAGAATCCTTTATATAATAAACAAATGTTTTAAATACATGGACCCACTTATAGTTTTTTTTAAACTACGTGTCCATCCCAACGTCCTAAGTATTATGGGACGGAGGGGGTAGCTATTTTGTAAAGAACATATAGTTGTTTTACAAAGAACATCTAGGTTTATGTTCATTTTGTATATCTAAAGAACATCCATAATATTAATAAAGAACATGATAATATTATGTAATGAACATTATTTATATTCGCCCACCATAATTCTTTTTTTTTTTTTAAATCTCTTATGTTTTTTTTTTATCACTTTCATTACATTTTACCAATATGTTCTTTACAATTCTATACCATGTTCTTTTCACTTTAACTAAATATTCTTTTCACTTTAACTAAATGTTCTTTACATTTCTATATAATGTTCTTTCCCCTTTTTTTTTTAACGGATGTACCATGCGCATGGTATATCTGCCTCCATGAACCACTAATTACTTATTTTCCATTCTTCACAACTACCCACGTTTTTTGTGAGCAAATTTAGTAGTGGATAGTGGATACATATTAGAATAAGAAAACTAATTTCGTCAAAATATAAAGGAAAAAGAAAAATAATACCCATGTATGTACAGATATAATTATATAACCACATTACTCTTTGTTCATACGGAGTAAAAACCCTATAATGAGATGTCTTCCATATATCTTGTATACATATTTTCATCTTTATCAATTGTTTTTAAATTTGCACACAATACTATTAATATAACCTAATAGGTTTCTTATAGCGCTCACACGCATTGCGTGTGTTTCCTACCCTGTAACAATAAAGTAAGAAACATAGGAGTATTTTATAAGACATAAAAACAAGATGAACACTCCATTTTTTTTTCCAAGTGACGCATTAGCTTTCTCGTGGAGTTTCAAAAGAATTTTGTAGGGTGTTTAAAAAAATAATGAAAGTAGAATTTAGGTAGAGTTCACTTTACCTAATTTTTACTGAATTGAAATTATTTTTAATGAATTAAAATTATTTTTGCAAGATTTAAATTAATTTTACTACACTAAAATTATATTTATGTACTGAAATTATATATTTTTGTTGAACTAAAATGATTCTCAATTATATTTCTTCTTTAAAATTACCGATTTTTACTGAACTCAAATTATTTTTATTGAACCGAACTTGTTTTTACTGAATATGATTTTAAGGTGAAGTGAACAAGTCCTTACTCAAAAAGTAAATGTGATGATAAAATGATCTTCAATTAATGTTTATTCAAAAAATAATATTTGAAGATAGAAATGTAAAAAAGAATATTGAGTACAGACTATGTAGAGCGAGAACTAATTAAAAATTAGCAATGGGGACCAAAAAGGAATACATATAATCGATAATAGTAGGAAATTTCCAAAAAGAGGAGGCATATAACTCAAAAAAATGGCTAACGGTGAAAAAATAACCTTTAGCTTTCACTTAACTATTTAATAATTAAATTAATTTATATAAAAACAAAATCAAAACCACCATCACCACCACCAGTTAGCCCCCTTTCCTTGGCAGCAACCCCCCTTCCCAAACTGAGTCATCACCCAGAACCCCCCACCCTCGGCGACCCACCTCCACCGCCGATATTCATCGATTTAGGAGGGTTGGTGGTCGCGGCGAGGGTAAAGGAGAAAGGGATAGGGGTTTTCTTTTACGATAAAGTTTTTAAAAGAATTTTTTCGCATAATGGTACTTTTAAAAAGATTTTTCTTGGCAAATTAACTTAAAAAATGGTGATTAAAGCTTAAAAGTGAAAAGGGAAAGAAAAACATGAGTCTTTATGTATTAAAACTGTGAAATAATTTTATTTTATTTTATTTTATTTTTTTTATAGAGAGAGGAAAAGAAGTATTTCGTGTCGTATTATGAACTTAGATATAAGAAGAAAAAAAAAATGAGTTTTGTTATAATTTGTTCAAAAAATATTTTATTAGTATCTAATAATCTATAACTTATTCTGTAAAACTTGCAAAGAAAAAATTGCTTATATATTATATCTTGGCGGCCTAAAAAAAATTGATTATTTCATGTAAATGAGCAAAAAAAATATTTTGATTAAACTAGGACGGTTAACGTGTGCGATGCGCGCTATATCTAGTTATGTTCGGGTAGCTATTTCGGTTTGATCTTATGTCACAAATTTAGTTATTGATAACATTGATGAAGGCAAATATATAAACAAACTAGTATAGCACCCGTGCGATGCAATATTTACTAATAATCTTCATTTTTATTTCACGTAAAACCTTAAATTAATTGAATTTAAGAATAACAATTAATTTTTGTAAATTAGTACATTAATCATAAATTCTTTTCAATGTTAATCATAAAAAAAATCAAGATACGAACCTCTTAAAAGGATAAAATTTAATAATTATGGCAGAAATACTTATTGAAATAATTTTTTACCCTTATATTTAAAGGATCCAAATTAAATACAACTAAAACTTAAACTTACACGGTGCTTTTTTGGTGTGGTCAGCCACACCGTGCGGTAACCTAACACACACCAAAACACACCGGGTAACCCTTGATTGAATGAATAACATCTGACCTACCGAGTAACCCTTGACCGATCGAGTAGCCCTCGACCAAGTTACGCCTAACTGACCGAGTAACCCTTGACCGACAGAGTAACCTGTGACGAAGTTACGCCTAACTGACTGAATAACCCCTGACCGACTGAGTAACCCATGACTAAGTAATAAAATTTATGTTTAACTTAATATCTAGTACAATAGTTTTTGTCCTCATTCACCAAGGTGTCCATACCCAATTCGATCACCCGCCTGTCATCTGTCATACCTGCACAATCCTTGTCCCTTCACTTTATTTTCAAGGTATTTAGTATTTACATCCACTTATAATATAATACATGTCTCATCACCTCCTTAGTCCTTATTTGATTAATAACTTTTAAATTGAACTTAATATATTTTTCAAAACCTTTTAATTTATTATACCCAAAAAAAAAAAAAAAAAATTAAATGATAGTTATTAGTACCCATTTAAAAAACAGCTCAATTAGTTAAAGTTTCCTTCCTATTTTCAGGGGATCCTAAGATCAATTCTTATCACATGTCCTTGTGGCCTAGCTATCTAAACAACAAAAAAATTATTTAATACTTGTACTAAAAATGTTTTTAAAAAAAATACTACAATATAACTATGTACTTTTAATTTTAATATTAACATATCTATTGATTTTGTGATCGATTATTGTTTAATCCAATTTCATATATTTGACAATTAACATTTACATCAATTACATACTTAAACAATCAATGTAAAAGCATGTGTGGCATTACCACTACACGAATACAAAAATAGAAAATTTCTGACAATATAATTTCATTAAATGTAATTTTTTTTTTCTTTTCAAAAAGGGAATGTGTCATTTACTCATATGTATCTAATAAAATTCTGTATTGTACTATGAATTAAATTGTATAAAAACTTTTTTCGCAAATATACTTAAAGTATCTTAGTCAACTTTACAAACTATCAATTATGGATAGTCAAATACTAAGCGTATACCCTATATAAAAATATGGTTTTTTTTAATTTGTGCGCATGGGCACATATTAAAAAAAACAGATTCCTAATAAATAATTATTAATGAAGAATATTTACAAGCTTAAAAAAAGAAAGGTCTAATATATTATTTGGAAAATAATAATTTCATTATTTTCTCTATTATAAGATTTACCACTTTTTTTTTTCCAAATATTTCTCTATTAATTTTATCAAACTACCTAATATTTTATTAAACTTCCTAATATAAAATTCCTTAAAACAATATACTTTCATATCCAATATACTTTATATAAATTCCTTAAAACTAAACTAAACTAAACTAAACTTTACATACTATCAGTTATAAATAGTCAAATACTAAGCGTATACCTTATATAAAAAGATGGTTTTTCTAATGTGTGTCCATTGACACATATTAAAAAACAGATTCCAAATAAATATTTGATAATGAAGAATATTTGCAAGCTTAAAAAAAGAAAGGTCTTATATTATTTGGAAAATAATAAAGTCTTCGTTATTTTCTCTATTACAAGATTTATCACTTTTTTTTTCAAACATTTCTCTATTTATTTATGAAATTTGCCCACTCTTACATAAAAATAATTTGATAACTAAATTATTTCATACAACCTCCTAAAATATGCAACACATGATATAAAGTGGAGAGCTCATTTGCTTTTAAAAAAATCATGTAGTATGCATATTGTGGTTTATTACATTTATTTTTTTTTTTCTTTTTAAAAGATTGATAGGGAAAAAAAACATATAAAGTCTAATTTTTTTTTTTTTTTTTTTATAAGCCACAATGACGATACAAATTACAACCGAAGATGATGGGATTTAAATCTATGATAATATCGTACAACCACCAAGCCAAGACATCCATTAATAATGTTAAACAGCATATGAAATACTCAAGTACTACGCACATTAAAGCATATCACCTTGTATAGTCACCATTATTAGACTAAAGTACGTACAAGTTAGATTATTGCTTAAATATGAACATGCAAAGGAATTAGAAAATAAATTACCACCAAAATAACATCTAAAACAAAGTAAAATTAGCTAGTGATTGTAGAGTGAATGATTAATATCTTGAGATTGCTATTGCTTAGTTCAATTAATAAAATTGCATTATTTTTTTTGTGCAAGAAGAAAGGATGGGATAATGCATATGCTTTAGGAAGATGACATAAGCTAGTAAATTATTTTCATATCATAATCTGTAAAAAAAATAGGAGATATAGTATTCAACTAGTTTTTGGTCCGGACGATGCTCCGAGTCATTACTTATATTTTATTATATTGTAGTTATTTTTTAAAAAATTCAATATTAATTGTTTAACTAGTCACTTTGATTAGACATTATAGGGAGTAAACTAAAAAATATATGGTGGAAATATTTGATTCCATCAATGGTTACAAAATTTCAATATTGAATTGAAGTTGAAATTAAAAAAGGAATTTAGGTATGCTTATTAATTGAATAATAAATAATAAAAGAATAATATAGTATTACAAAGCTGCGAAATAAGGAGCATCACAGTCAAATTAGAAAGTTACATCGCGTAGTTTAAATCATTCTATTAAGAACAATATGTATAAAGAGGCATTGATAGTTTGATGGTAAATGTCGTTCTTATGTATAGTGGTTCAAATTATATTTCAATCATAATTATGCATTGAATTTTGATATTTAGTGTAGAAGAATAGGTCTTGACATGTGATTGCTCATGTGGTGCCAAATTTATTAAATGAAGGATGACACATGGCAATACCATGTTATCCCATTGAGTTTTAATGATATTATAGTCCGTATTACATTAATCCGTGAAAGTTAGGCGGCAAGTGGTGTATTTTTTTATTTTTTTTTTTCATTAAAAAAATCTTCAAAGGTATTGTTTTAATAAATTGAGATATATTTGAAAAAAAAATGTGGTAAATCTTGTAATAGAGGAAATAATGAAGACTTTATTAGTTTCCAAATAATATGTTAGACCTACCTTTTTCAAGCTTGTAAATATTATTCAGTATCAAATATTTATTAGGAGTATGTTTTTTTTAATGCGTGCCCATGGACACACGTTAGAAAAACCGACAAAAAGAAACCAATACTATATACAAGCTAAATCGATCATTTATATAGATCAGATCATATAAACTAATCATATAAATTCTTTAAAAGAAAAAGTAATACAATCAATTTTTGTAAAGTTAGTCAAAAGACTCCTATAATCATATAATTTTATTAAAATATGATTTATTTGACAAAGATTATATAATACTCCGTAAAATTAGGTACTTTACTAAAATATGATTTTTTTATTTTTATTTATTTATTTATTCTTAACTTTAGAAATTTTTGTTAAAAATATTACTATATTTATTTGACAAAGATTTTATACATGTTTATAGTTAACAAAGATTATATAGAACTCCGTAAAATTAAGTACTTTAGTAAAATATTCATGTGTAACATATATATAAGATTTTATAGTTATGAGAAGTAATCTATAATATGCGATAATATATATGAATAAGATTTTTGGCAAATATACACCGAAATAATAAAAAAAAAAAAAAAAAAAAAAAAAAAAAAAACTAAACTAAACTAAACTAAAATAAGAACATGTGTCAGCTATGGAGCTAGTGTACCCTGTTTTAATATAGTATATAGATAGATAGATACTTTTAGAGGTATAAATGTTTGTACACTATTCTTAAGAGTTTAAAAAAAAAGACAATTAATACAAATGAGGGCAAATAAGTAAATAAACATTTTAAAAAATACAATTGTCCAAACACTATTCATAAGAATTCTCTCATACTTTCTAAAAGATAGGAATATTGCTCAAATGAGCAAAAATCCGTGTAAGTGAGAAAATATGATTATACTAGATGGGATACCGGAGTGTGTGATGAAATGGTTTGTACTAGACCTTTCCCTCACAGCATCACTGCTTTGGCGGAAATCAATTTACCTTAATAATATGCTTTACCTTTTGACTAAAAAAAAAAACCGATTGAATGGTAAAACTGGTTTTATAATACCCCAACATACTTTTTCGGTCTTCAAAATTTTTAGAGCATAGACTCTGTAAGTATGGTGAAACGACAAAGTATTAGAAGGATTTTTTATTTTTTTTTTGGGGTAGAATATCTATGATCACTCAATTACCATCAGTTACTTATTGATGTTTAGTGTGCTTAATTTCATGTGCAGGATAAAGCATGTGAAATATGTGGGGATATTGGCTGGGTAGATTACAGCATCATTTGCTCCAAATGCAGAGTAACTCGCGAACATGTGTACATTACTCTATCTTATCCCCTCTAAAGTTCTCATTATTGCAGATTTAAAAAAAATAAAAAAAAAATAATAATTAAAATTAATAAAGAAAGTGCTCAGAGAGCATAGTGTATTTTAATAATAGAGAAACCAAATTAAGTAACAACAATCTCCGCCAAGGTTATCACACCTTGGGGAATAGAGTTAACATACACATGTTCAATGTCGTGTAGAGGACTTAGTCTAGCAACCAAATGAGCTACACAAGAGGTTGATGCTCCATTTAAGTGGGATGAACCATTGGTTCTAAATGGTGAATTAACAACAAAATTAGTCCTTGGAAAACAATTTATTATTTGTACTTTTCAGAAACTCTATATGATAAAGTAGGTTTCAGATAATTCTGGATGCAAAGGAGGTTTCAGATAGTAATTATAGAGTTAGTTGTGTAACAAATTATTTTGAGGCTTGTTCTTGATTGAGAAATCATTAATTTTGTAACAAACTTTTATTATAGCTCACCTTTGACTGCAGCACTACACTTCATCGAATTTAACTGCATGCATGTCTCTGCTGGTAGCATATAGGATTCTACTGCTAAAAGAGGATTAAATTTTTATTGCTGAAGTTACTTTTCTTAGGGATTTAGGATTGTATAGTATGTTGTCTTCAGAGCTGGAGAATTTCACATTCTTAAGATTGTTATGTGCTGCTTCGTATTTAATAATTTTCATTGCATCCGCTCGACCACATCAATTATACATACATGTAGCATTGAGAATCGCACTAAAAATTTCTCATCATGTTAGTTGCATGAGCTAGAAAGACTAGGTTTCTGTATCACAATCCTTTCATCTTCCTGGGCATGTATGGTCAGCAATTTGTTGATGAAATGATGACCTTCATACTATGCTTCTTGCATTTTCATGAACATGAAAAATGATTTTGTGGTTGATGAAAAAATTGTGCCTTGTATCCTTTGAATAATAATTTAAGCTTCTTATAAGGCCAGTTGATATTCTGTCGAATTTACAGCTCTTCACTTTTAAGAAATAATTTGTATTTTGACAGCGTCGTTTGTTCTATATCCCAGGTACTGCATGAGAGTATTGTATGATGATGACAGAGATAAATGGGTTTGTGAAGAATGCAACTCCTCCAATCATTCGTCAATAAAAGGTGTCTTTTCAAACTTCTGAAAACATTCATATACACATTTGAAGATTTTCTAGCAATGACTAATTTATTCTGCAGCTCCAACCAAACAACCTAGTGGCACAAGAAGGATAACAATTAAGAAACCTCCTCAAAATTCAAAGGTGCACTATTTACCACCTGAGAAAGCAAAGGTGCTAAATTATGGAGCAACTACAAGAAACTTGTCTTCACCAAGAAAAGTACATATTGTACATAGGCCCTCAGGGAACAATCCATCTGTATCGAAGATGGAGGCTATTCCATCATCCTCTCCTACTCCAAAATTCAGGATTAAATTAGGGCCATCCGGAAGCAAGGAGCCACGACTGAATGACTGGAGCATGCCTAGCTATTTGAAGGATACCAATTTGTCAAGTACTGGTATCAGACCCTTTTTACTTCCATTCTGCAATATTGCTTGGAAAATATTTGTGCCTGTATTTTTCTATTATTGGGAGAGTAAGGAGTGGTTTGAATGTTAGATTTTGACCAATATGTGGATGGAAAATTTTCCAAATCCTTGATCCTTTAGGCATCAAAGTGATTTTCAATATGGAGTATTAGAAATGTTTGCGCAATCTACTTTTGATCTTCATGATGCTACTCAGAGTCACTTGGCGAGAAGGAAATGATCACGTGAATTGCTCATAGCCTTAAATGACTCCAATAAACCCCTCTCATGGTAGGGGAAGGAGGGGAGTGTTTAAAGTAATATGACTATATTGGAGAAAATGGTTGTTTTAGAAGCCAGGTGGTACATTTCATGAGAGCTATATGCCAAGTTAGCTTAAATAGGATCAATTACTTTGATGAAGTTTCAATGACTAAAGTTTTGGCCCTTAAGTTTCTTTCTGTTAACATTTTTGTTAATAGCTTTCCTATCGCCTTTTTTTTTTTTTTTTTTTTTTTTTTGCTTTTTCCTGAAGCATTTTCTATCCTTTTTGTATGTTTAACATACTGGTAAATTGTGTTCTTCTGAAAATTCCATTATTTTGAAATAATCTGGCTGTTTCGTAGGTATTTTCTGTTATTGCAATTTCAAAATACAATGTTCAGCATCTTTGAGTCTTTGTATAAGCTAGTGGAAGAACAAGTTCACTGGAGATGTCCTAGTTGCTGCTTGCTCACCAACTTAATCTGTACATAGATTTTATTTGATAGTACATTAAGCTAACCTGGCAATATCAGTTGTCTGTCAAACCTGTCCAACTTCAAAAAGTTGTAACTGTGATATATTAGGTCAGTTGTATATGGAATGGCTTTATTCTTATGGGACAGATTGATTGTGTTAAAGGATCGGATGAGTTTGTTTATGGCCCGTCCTGGAGATTCTGAAGGTTAACTCTGCTGCTTACAGAAGTAATAAGGTGGGGGGAAGTAATCACAATGGCATTCAGCTGGTGGTTATATCTTAGATTATGTGGTTTAAAAAGGCTTATGAAAACATTTCATTTGACTCATAGATGTTCCAGCCGGAAATCTTTGTGGGATAGACATGTTTGTTGCTTCTTCATGGAATAAATCTTATAATTGCATAGATGTTTCCAGGTGTAGCTTTGATTGAACTTACTTAGATTGATCTATGTCTACCCTTCTCTTTCTAGCTCTCTTAGACGAATTCAGTTCCTCTTTTAATGTGCCTTTTTATCTTTTTTAACTGTTGTACTTTTCTAATATCTAGAAGAACGAGTCTTAGGAATTCGATTTTAGGCAGTACTATAGTTTCTAAGCCTAACCGTTTCTGAACTTCAGCTAAGGAGATGTAAAGCAGTAGAAGATTTGTAAATTAGCACGTACTGTTTACTTATTTAAGCTGTATGAATCAATTAGAGCTTAAAATCAATGCATTTTTTCTTATTGTCATCATTGACAATTATTTCCCCTGCATGTCGTTTTTCTTTAAAATTTACTGTGTTTTTATTGAACATGACGTATTTGCGATCTTTCTTGCAGACAAATATAATTCTGAGTCAACTATATCTAGATGGTCTTCAGCTACAAATATGCAAATATCAGATGCCATGTTGCAGAAGGAAACAGGTAAGCATTGCCTATACATTTTACTGCAAGTACACGATGCAGAAAATGCTCAAACCTCAAAGTCCATGCTATTGTAAGTTCGTGTTTAGGATCCCATATACGTGGTTGTAACATAATGATTTATTGCAATATTACATTGCTAAGCTCAAATACTATCTTTGATCTCTTGATCTCCAGAATTAAAATGTTTGAAGATCAAATATAACAGAAATAATTGGCATGCTTTAATGGAAAAATGAAAATGTCGAAAACAACCTACTAACTCTACATTAGGCTAGAATTAGAAAGAGAATGGGTTACGCTACAGATGATGTCTTATTGGAGTTATGCAGACTAGTGTGTGTGCAATTTTAAGTGCTGGTTATATAGATTCTGCTATCTAAGGTGGTGCACCTTCTAAATTGCAAATAATACAATGAGTTATATTAGAGCTTTATAGGGTGTCATAATATAGAATCTTATCTTCTTTCAAGCTGGACTAGTAAAGCATATACTGCTCAAGCCCAAGTGCTCACCCAGTTTTTGTGTGAGATTTTTTCAGATGAACCTGCACATAGACATAAGGGGGAAAGTCCGCCTGCTAAGCGTGTGCCTTTTGCTGAGTTTCCCAAGCCTAGTGTGGAGAGAGACAATATAAAATCGGGCCACACTCCTGCTCATTTAGGCCTGCGTTTGCCAGATGTCAGTTCAGGTACATAATTGGTCAGATGAACTTAATTTTGATGAAATAAGATGAGTTATGGGCGAGATGTTTACCATGAAGCTATATCAACCAGTTCCTATGGATTCTGCTTAGTCAGAAATGATTTTCCTAATAATTGCGAGCTTTTGTTGCTTGACTGATATTTTTCTTCTTGCTCAAGATAAAGAGATAGAATTAACATTCAAGACCAAATACTTTTGAATTTTTGTTTATAAGAAAACAAGAGAATATGATATTTCATCAACATTTATGTACACCACACTAAATTTAAAGACATGATTTTTCATGTGGAGGTGCCATATCACCAAAAGACATGATTCTTAATAATTTTAAATTCATGTCTAATTAATCATTTTGGGTTAAAGGCTTTATTGCTGTTGTTGTAATGTTGTATCTAATTAATCAACGTGATAACAGTTGATATTGATTTTAGAACCAGATAAAGAAAAGTTGACCTATGCTCCAACTTAGTCTTCTGATAGTTTAGATTATGATTGAACAGGGGTCAATGTGTATACAAAACCTCAGCCAAAGAAATTTGATTCTAAGGCGAGAGACTCTCTGAGTGTTACAATGGTTCTTGATAGTTATCTACCAAACCATCCTGCATTGTCTCCAACGTGGAAGTAAGTTGCACTTAGCTTTTGGCATTTTGAATATAATTGTGTTTGTCATTTGGGAGCACGGTGTGTCTGAATTCACTTTGCACTTAGGCTCTAGGACCCTTATTATCTTGGTATGCCTTAAACCCTTTCAAACATTGTTGTGAGCTCAAATTTGTTTACTTTGACAGGGGACCTTTTAAGATCACGAGTGATCTTTTTCCATGTAGTATCTTTGACGAAATTCAAGCACATCCTCCGTGTAAAGTTCATAGCAAAGTGTACAAGCTATCAAAACAATTTCCCAAGACACTTCCCTTTGAAATGCTGCCTCGAAAAAACTCTTGGGTGGGCATCTTTGAGGAAGATGTTGCAAGAGAGCTTGACATCGGACTATAACCCCTACAATGTCCAATACAAATGGAGGTTCTAAATTGGATGTCACATCAACAGTTGGACATGAAAAATGTTACTCTCACCTTTTGGAGTACCTAGACATACATGAGCAGCTCTTGAGAACTCAAATTGATGGAGTGGAATTGTTTGTTTTTTCCTCGAAACATTTGCCAGAGGATTCCCGCAGTAAGCTTTGTCCTCTTACTCCTTGCAGTTATGTTTACCACAATTACAGCATCCAAATTTAATGATGTTTTCTCCTATATCTCATACCCTTTTATTTAGCAGAAATAAATCGAAATATTTTCTTATGGGGATTACTTCGTCCTACTTCTTTCAGAAAGCCTTAGCCTAGAAGACAACTTTCTCCTTCTCTGCATGCCAAGTTCAACTAGCATGCGGTATTAACCTCAGGTACAAATCAATTCATACCCCTCTTGACATTGCTACTTAATGTTACCCAATGTTTCCTGCACGAAGGTGAGGTTACGAACAACAATGACCTTATTTGGACTTTTAGACTGGAAGATAGAGTCTTCCTATGGTCAGGGTAGTTTTGTCATTTGTGCTGGAAGTCGAACTTGTGGGCATGTTTTCTTCTCACTTAGGATGTTTGCTGGGTATTATTTTATTGCTATCAGCAAAAAATAAATGGTGGTTAATCTTTGGAGGTGTTATTATCAAGGGGTACTGAACTTATTATTGTCGAGTTTAGATAAATAACAATCATTAAAGTGTGACTATGGGTCCAGTTTATTTGACATGTAAACTTTCTTAATGAAACTTTGTAGTTCTTAAACATGCTAACTAAACCAAATTGGTGATTGGAAAAGCGAATGTTTATAAGATGATCACCATAAGCTTCATGATGTAGCAGCCTCGTAGCCACATTCCCCCATTTTATCTCCTATTTTCACAAAAATCTGTTTACTGAATTTCCATACATTTTTTAAATTTAAATGACAAATATTATGGTACAGTATATGTTAATTATAATTCTCAAAATCTCTTAAATTGTACAAGGTATTAGTTCTTATCAAAAAAAAAAATACAAGGTATTAGTTGAACACCACCACCACAGCCAACAACAAAAGCAGTGTAGTAGTCTGATGGTCCAATAACATTACGTCCCCATTTATCACGTTGGTTATTTCCAAAACCTACTAAAGAAGTTTAACATAGATAATAGACGTGTAGTTGTTGGTAGTTGTCAAATGTTAACTCATGGAACCGAATTTAGATATTGTCCATTAAATTAGTTGATAATCCAGCCTGGTTTTAATAATGATGTATTTGGCACGGCTAATGTAGAATTAACTCCATGAATTTACAAGAGTGCCAACAGAG